CCCCCCCGGGCCTGTTCTTTCGAAACTTCATCAAACATATCCTAATGAGATGAAATACCAATTTTATTAAGTGGGTAATAGATGAGAAGTTTCCATAGGAATTTGGGGATTGTCTTGTCGCAACAGGTTCTTCAAGATATTACATCGTACAAAGTAAACCACAAAGCTCAGGTGATTTAGGACGACAAATTCAGAACAATGATACGCATACACAGGAACAAAACGTGTTTACTTGTAGTGATACATGAAGCATGGGATGGGGACATACAAAAGTAGCACCAAAACATAGAAAGGCGGTGCCTCAACAAGCAATTTAATGATTAAGGGTTCAGGTTCAGAGGTAGCAGTGGGGTTAAAAGCTTTTAGATTAAAATAAGAGAGCGTTATGAGGGTGAAAGGACTAATTAATGTGAGCTTGAGAGAAAAAAGGCAAATATGGTGAACATTGGGGTCCAAAAGTAACTTGAAAATGCAATCACCCGACTATCGTGTTATAGTCTTGCACAACCCACTCATGCAGCATATCAATTTAAAGCTAAATAAATTCTGCTTCATCTGAATCATTAATATTTCATCTATGTTTAGAGATATGGTCTTTCAAAGTTGACCTTTAAAAAAATCAGACTTGGCAAATTTGTGCGAGATTAAAGAAAAGTAAAAGTTTGTTCGCGCCTATATTGATGTGTATAGACACTGGTGGTCAACATAGGTAGAATGGATATGTTTTAAATATCTAATAAAATTTTTTTTTAAATTCTTGTCTCACACTCAAACAGATGGAAAACAGAGTAGCCACAAATACCACACGATACCTGGACTTAACATGTGCTCTTTTTGTTTAGGAGATATTTGCTTCGTGTAGAGGACGAAACCTTTTTTGCGCATGGACTATGTCAGTTAGATTTTGGACATAACCACCTGTCAATGAGGAACAGAAGCCTCGAAACCGCCATGGTTTTGGGTGGTTGGGGTGAAATTAACAAAACACCCTCGTGAGAATCACTAGGTGGCTTATTGTAAGATAGATAAGATAAGATAATACTTTATTATCCCAGAGGGAAATTTTTCTAAGCTGTACACTACCGTAAAAACACATGCAGGTATACAAAAAAAACAACTATACATTACTGTCATTAAAATTCAATATGAAAAGAAAAGTAACGCTGACAAAATGAACATATCACATCAGATGCAAGGCTTTAACACGATGATTTGATGACTACATTTTAAAGTTTCTATTGGGCCAGTGGCGTTCAAAAGAAACTTGAAAACGTAATCATCCAATCATCGTGTTAAATGTTTTGCATTATCTACTCATGCAGCATACCAATTAAAAGGAAAATACATTCTGTATCATCAGACACATTAATAGTTCATCTATGTTAAGAGACGCCCGAGATGATTATATGGTCACTCAAAATCAACCTTAAAAAATCAGGCTTGGCAAAATTAGGCGAAATCAAAGAAAGGTAAAATTGTGTTCTCGCGAAAATTGAAGTGCCTCAGCATTGAACATGTATTGAATATCAAATAACATGAGAATATTATTGTCTCTGCAATGAACAGCATCCACTAATGATATTTTCAAACAGATTGGAGAATAGAGCAGTTGCAAATGTCACATAAAACCTGGACTTAACATATCATGTGCTCATTAGTATTAAATTTGTTTTTGTTTAGGAGCTAATGGTTTCGTGTAACGCATGAAATCGTTTTTGCACACGAACTGTTTTAGTTAGATCTTGGACATAATCATATGTCCGTAAAGATCAGAGACCTCGAAACTGCCATGGTTTTGGGTGGTCTGGGGTGGGATGAACGAAACCGCCCTCATGAGAATCACTGGATGGCTTGGTTTAGTGGACTATATCGCTCATGTGCTGGAACGTCGTGTCTTACACTTACTTTCGTCATGGTGAAATTCAAGTAGACATCTCCTCCATGCATAGCAAAGCACTTTCTCACAGGGCCAATGGCACTAGACAATTCTTGGAAAACCAAGTCAAATCAACCTTGGAGTGGTCACCAGTAAATCAATAGCCCGATATGAATCCAACAGGTATGTGAAGAATGAAGTAGGCCTACCATGAAACTGCAGCTGAAGAAAAGCGACTTTGCTCCCAATTCAGATCCTTTGTATGCAACTCTCAGTGACATTTGAGATGAAATGGCGGATAATTATGTCCACAGTTTAAAGGTGAGGGGGGGGGGTTTACACCTGAAGGCTATCTCGCTTATTACTGGACCAAATTATTACCAAATTTCACACATATAACAGCGTAGTAAGGAGTCTTAAAATCCTCAATCAAATTGGAGAAAAAAGTTTCATTTCCATGGATACGGCGGCCATCTTGGATTTTGTTGACATGTCTTACGTAACGAATACCGCCCTTATTGCGAGTTGTCAAACATTCGATTAAAAAATTTGCTTGTTGTTTTTTCCTAAACGGATGAAAAACATTTTAAATGAATTTTTTCCTGAGGTAGCATTCAAGTTTGCAAAAAATTCGTGGAAATCCACACTCCAGACACCACCAACAAAAATGTATTTTGATATATCAAAAATTCAAAAACACTATTTTTAGTACTACATCTTCCCCTCATTCTATAAACATTTCATGAAGATTGGATGAAAAATGGTGGAGTTATTCAAAAAAGTTTAAAGAAAAGTCGCGTTTGAGTTACTTTATGAGGAAATGGTGGTGATAAACATGGCGGTATGAGAAAAATACAGTTTTTGGGGGTTCTTTTGCTATGAAATAGTTGTAGGAAAGGTTGAGGAAGCTAAAAATGCCTACAACTCAAATTCCATAATTTTGAGCGAATCGGGACTTTGGGGGTGTACCCCCCCCCCCCCCCCCCCCTTCACAAAGTTGATGCCCAAAGGGTTTGAGCACTACAGAAAACTAATGGCTCCTAGGCAAAATAACAATGACCACATTTAATGTTAAACCCAAGTTTTGCATTGTGATTGTGATTGATCTGTTTTCCGTTCTGTTTGAAACTGTACTTCACATTTTACTCTTTTCCCCGCTTGTACCTATGGGTGTCGCGGGGAGATACAGGCGTCTACCTGAAGCAAGGTAAGTGGCCTGTAGGAGGGATATCCCGTCAGCTCTGAGGGTGTCTCCTACAGATTCACTCCAGCGTCTCTTTGGTCTTCCTCTGGCTCTCCAGCCAGAATAGTTGATAGTACATGCTCTCAGAGCTGATTGGTTTAAGGACATCCGTGTGAGGTGTCCGAACCACTTGATCTTTTGTTTTTCAATGTGTGATAGGACTTGTGTTGCTCCTACCGTGTCCCTTATGATTTCATTTTATATGTTGTCTCTTCTTGTCTTGTTAACTGCTCTTCTTAAACATTTCATCTCGCATGTGACCAGCTTTCTCAATAGGGCTTTTGTCTGACACTGATATGTGAGTGTTGGTAGGAAAATGGCGTTGATGAGTTTCGCCTTGGTGCTCATGGGGATATTGGGATGTTTCAGGAGAGCGGCGAGTTGATAACTGACTGCATTGGCTTTCTGGC